ATGTAAGTATGCAATATCGTTGCAAAAATAATTGGGATAATTTTAGAATTATTTTCTAACAAATTGCGAATAAAAGCGCGCATGTTAAAAAATACGTGTATATTTATTTGTTTGAGCGTTAATTAAAGCTTATTACGCGGATTTATTCCGCGAGTGTACGTTTATGTTAGTTCGTAAAAATTGTGATTTTGTAAGTAGCGGAAAGGAGCGTCACAGAAGCGAACAAACGTTTCGGCATCAAGTCGAGACGCTACCCGCATGATCCGTAAATCAAGCCGGCGGTTCGAACATAATGACCCATAAACGCGATATATTGCAATGTCAAAACGTGACGTCCTAACGCGGTCTTATTCAATTTTGTCGCATGCATAATGCATGCGGAGACGAGTTACGCATAAACGCGAGCGTACGTAAAACGCTCGTGTTTATTAACGCTCCGGCGTTCATTTCTCTTTTTCTCGCCGGAAACGCGCGAAAAATCGCGAAACGTTAGTCGTAGCGCGTAAGGGTGCTCGCTCTTACACAAAGATGAAAGCTCTCTTAGCCTTTTACCGCGCGCAGTTCTCATCAGCCGCGGTGTCGCGTTACGTCTCATCGACAAAAAGCATTTCGGTCGAAGGGCGCGCGCGAAACCCTTTCGCATTTAAAAACACCCGATGAAGACGAAACAAAAGGAAATAAAAGGCCGTGGACCGGAGTCACGTTGAAAAGTGACTCGCGTGGCACGAAAACCGACACCTCGGCCGGAAAACTTGAAGGGCTTTTGCGATTAAACAGGCTTCTCGTCGATGAGCTTCGATGCTTGTAACATTAACCGGAAACCGCGCTGTCGTCGACTGCTTTAAAATTGCGGAATTTCTCGAGCATTGTATTTCTTGTAAATTGCATTCACAAACTTTAATTAATTTCGCAAATAAGTATCAACTTATTAATTATAAATAATAATTAACTCTTAAATAATTAATAATCAAATTAATGATTTTTATGTTAATATATCGAGACGTATATTTTCCATTCTTCGAAATTTTTTTTAACATTATTTTAATAATTAATTAAACGCTTTGTGAGATATTATAAACATCATGATATGTTAATTCTTCGTGGACTGACATGAGTCTCTTATTGTTAGACCCACCTAAAAATTTCAAACCGTTGTCTTTAATTGGAATTAGGTTTTTTTTTAAACGCTTATATCTTAAAAACTACTAGAGATTTTTTTCAATTTATTTGTTTGTTTGTTTTTCGTTTTTTTGATCGAGAGAGATGCAGAATTCAAACTTTTGATTAAAAAAAAAACAAAAAACAATTGAAAAAATATTGATGTTATGTCCGAGCACGGTTAAGAAAGTACCGAGAATGGACGTGCAGCCCGTTGCTAACACAAGTCGTTACTAAGGACGAATGTCGTCTCTTACAAAAGATACGCAAGAACTCTGTGGTATAAACTATGAGCAACTTCGTTGGATAATACCCTAACAATTGATTTTTCGCAGAGATGTTTAATTTTAAAGTCGTGGGTCTCACAAATCTAGTCAGTCCAACTAGTAGGCTGTTTTGGAACTCAGTCGACGAAGAGTTAATTCGGAAGATTATGACAAAATAATTTTATCTCACTATTATTGTACTCTCTCTCTCTCTCTCTCTCTCTCTCTCTCTCTCTCTCTTTCTCCTTTCTCCGTGATCATTCCACGCATTTGCGCGAGTGTCACGAACTCGCGGATAGTATATATGACGTTTCAGTCTCATCCAATTAACGATCCGCCGACGAATAACAAGGAGGCGTGCCTCGGACTGCGAGCGGGATAACGCGCGAGAAAGCATGACACGATGTCGCGGAGGTCGGCGCCAGTCGACAAAAGCCGCGGAAATATCCGACTATTAGGTATTCCTTTGTACGCATAATCTCGCCTATTTGACCGTCGTCTTCTTCCTTTCGCGCCGCGTCTTTTGTAACTCTCTCGGCAACTTGACAACGACGTTACTCCGTACGTCATTGTCGTCGCGCCGCTTCTTGTGTGTCGCTCCAATACCCGACGACTATCGTTGTCGTCGTCTAAATTAGCATATCTAAAGGAACGCAAAGCAAATATCGACCTTTTTCGTCGGATCGTCTATGCATTATCATGCGCTTCTTTGCTCGGGCGTCACACAGATTTTCCTAATCGACTTTGGAAGCTGCTCGACGCGTTCTGCTGCTCTCTTTTATATATATACGAGGTAAGTTTCTCTTTAAAGTTGAAAAAGAGAGAGATCTTTTACATGATCAACGAGTTTTCTTTCAAAGTAAATTTTGCCCGACGTGCTTTCTTTCTCTCGAAGTCTGAAGCGAATATAAAAATAACAAAGTAGTTTGTTCAAGTGAGTTTCAATTATTCGCAAATATGAGACTACCGAAGAATCGAAAATCGACTGCCGAATGAATCGATTTGCCACAAGCAAACGATAATTAAAATATTTTTAAGTTTCTCAGAGATTAGACGATTTATCTTCAAAAAGTCCAGGTGACTGTGAATGCGGACGTCTTCTAAAATTCCTCGTATCCTGTTCTCTTATCTATCCTTTCTACTCGATTATGACAAATATTATCAGCAAACGCCGGTGTGCAACGTTCAAGCCAATTTTCCGCGATCCCAAGAATATCCGAATTGCTCGGCAACTAATTATCGGGGAAAAGAACGCGCAGTCAATCGATCTCTTTCATCCTTAAATCCCATAAAGTTTTCTCTCTCTCTCTCTCTCTTTCCATAATCCCCGCGTCTTCTTGTCATTGTCTTCACAGTTCCATCTCTTACCGGGTACGCGAAGCGTTCAATTACTTTCTCTAAGCGGTTCGTTTCTTTGTTAGTTCGTGATAGCAGTTAAATGTTCAACGAGAAAGGAAAAGAGAGAAAATTAAATACACTTTAAACAAATTCAAGTTTTTTAATTAAAAGACATTATTAAAAGATGAATAAGAAACATTACTTAAATTAATTTGTTTCTTTATTTTAATTTGCTGCTAAACTTTGTTGTTTGCTGAAAAAAACCCCGGGGCAATTGCAATTTTCTTGACTAATCGCATAAGAAAATTGTTCGCAGATTTTCTAACCGATAACACAAATCCGAATACGCGTATATTCGTGTGTACATTCTGCTCGAAACAATATTATCCTTCGCTTTGGCGTTTAAGAAGTCTTTCAGTCCTTTCAAGATGGATAACGGTAGACCTTTATTTTCTCTGGGACCAAAAATGGTCACTCTCGCGTTCCTATCGCGAAATATCCGGGTGTTGGTGCAGCGGAAACTCACTATGCTTTCAGATAACCCACATATTCCGACCGAGCTCGTTGTACAGCCAATTTGCGGGGATGTGCATAAAATGCGCTTTTGACGCGTCTTTTATAGAAATAATCGTGATTCGCGCGAAATTTCTTCGCGCTTTGTAAGTATAATCCGAGTTGTTATGTCCTGGCCTGTACAATCGGGCTATGGGGGAGCGCGACAGTAAAGCGTCGGTTTTTCTATTCTCTCCCGCTATGTGTGAGAGTTAAGCGAGATTGTTTATATTCACGGACGTGCCGATTTTACTCCGTCTAGTGAATTCTCGCTCATCAGTCCCTTTTTCTGGTCTGAGACGCAAGTCTCATTCAAGAACAAGACCTAGCGATTTAACGAGGAATTGAGAGTAGATGAAACGGGAAGAGGGATAAAAAATAACTCTTTAGTTTGATTTTCACATTCCTTCTTGTTGAACATTCAAAACTTTTAAAAATAAAAAAATATTATTTAAAAGGCGCATTGGACAAAACGCTCGGACACGGGTTAACTTATTATTTTCAATATAGATTCGTCATATGTAAGGAGATTAAAATCGGTGATTAGTCAACTGTAGTCTCTCCTTGTGAATCTTTACTTATTCTCACTACGTAAAAGAGGGAAATTGTGCAGTACTACTATGCAATACACGGCTGTCTTTCACAGTGGGCGTATCCGTGTCGGGCTCGTGCTCAGGTTGTTACGCCTTGTGCACAGTAAAAAGAGAATATGTTAATTTTAATTTTAAATATTATTTTTAATTTAAGTGGACTTTCTGGAACATATAAAAAATGTTGAAGTAACTCATTCGTCATGTGTTACTTAGTGACAAACTAGTAATGTTAATTGACACTTTGACTGCAGTTATATTTGTTATCTTGACTTTAAGTGTAATGTGAAAATGAAATAATTAAAAACTACATGGAAGAATAGCTACGTTTTGTTTAAAGTACATTTCTTACAAATTATTATAATTATTCTTTTATGTAGTTTTTAATTATTTTATATTGTAATTTATTTATATTTTAATTATTTTATGTTATTTTATTTCTACATATGTTACACTTGAAGTCCAAATACAAATGTAAAGTGTCAATTAATATTACTAGTTTGTCATTAAGTAACACATGACGAATGAGTTACTTAAAAATTTTTTACAAGTTCCAGAAGACTCATTTAAATTAACATTAACATTTTCTTTTTTACTGTGTGAGAGAGATATTGATTCGAGATTATACACTTGAATTAATTTTTAGAAGCCCGATTCAGTTCAGATCAATCGATCAATCGATATAAAGAAACCCGAAAACATTCTAAAGTGATGAGCAGATTCGAACTCGGGACCTCCATGTTTACAGTTTCTGCACTCAGACCGCGAGATTAATGGGCCTGGTTGGTCTTACTTCTAACGCATATACTTCGCTATGTTGCGTTGAATAAAGAAGAGGACCGTGGAGCTTAGGACGCAACAGAGAGTAATCGCGGCGCAAACTATATTACTCGCGGAAACGGAGCGTCGTAAAATACAACTGTTGCTCTAATGTTGTTCCTCAACGACTTCACTAAATCAAATTATTCAAAATAGTTGAAAATTAATACACTGCATAATGTGCTTAATTTAAAATCCCGAATATCTCAAGTGTATATCGCGCGCAATCATGGTATTATTATCCGATACACGACGATGTAATGCGCGATGCATAACAATGGTTGTTGCATTTTGCGATATCGGAAACTGGCACTGGAGTAATTCCGATTGTACGTTGAGAAGAAACGAAGAAGATATTCTCGTCATGCGCTACGGCGACGAGGTCGGAAAGTAAGAGTCGGCGAAAAACCGGTGAGAGCTGCGGCTACGTGACGAAGATATGAGGAGAAGCGGTGATCGAGTAAATGGCGATCGCGTGAACTCACTCAACCTGGGTGTGATGCTTGCCTATCTATCAGGCCCTAGTGGTCATCACAACCTTTTTGAGTGAGCGAATGAGGTCGTCGCGACCATCAGGGAAGACTACGAGAAACAATAACAAAGAAAAAACAAATGCGAAATAACCATTGCTGAGTTGTAGCGCCAATTGTTATAAATTTATTTGTTGACAAAGATAATATTACATACAATACATATAGTTTCTTTTTCTATAGTAAAGGTGAGCAAGAAAAATTGAGATAAAAATGGTTTATAATTATGACAAATAGAAAAAAAAGAGAAATAAGAGAGAAAGATAGAAATACTGACGCGTATGATGATGCAAATAAGCATATTTTTTTTTCGAGAGCGTTGAAATGAGATTTCGATCGTCGACAAATTAGATTCGTCTGGGGCCGTAAAAATACAATATTTCAAATACAATATTTCTTCTTCTCAGTAAGACTGCTCTTATGTCATTCAAATCTCTGACGGAGATAAGATCGCGGGATTGAGAGAGTCACGTAGGGCGTGAAATTTTTCCGGTTGTCATGTTTGTTTAATAGAGAAAGGGCATGTCTTTCGTTTGCTCAATAGAGAGGCGCTTATCAATCGTTTCCGTCTCGATTCTCGTTAGGCGGCTGTCTGGTTAATTCCGTCTCGGAGAAAAGATAAACATTGAAAAATATTCCTCTTTTTCGTATTTAAATTGGAATCATTTTTTTCCTTCTCTCTCTCTCTCTCTCTCTCTCTCACACACACACACACACACACTTTCTCCGTGAAACAGCGAGAGAAACACGTTACGATGAGACACGTGCACGAAAATAAAAAAAGCGCGTAACAAAAATACATACGAGTGAAAAGATCAACTTGCTGAAGTCCTACGACGGTTTTCACAGAATTCGACACCGACTCTGCGTGAGATGTATAAGTATTGCTTCGCAGATCGTATTAGCCGCTATTGCGCTGTCAAAGCGAAAAACGATATTTGACGTCAACAAGAGAAATATGTAAAAAAAAATGATTACATCATAATTATCCGATATTACAACTGAAGAAAGAAATAAAATGCAATAAACTCTCGGCGCCTCATATTATCGAAGTTTTATTCATCATTTCATTTTATACAGCGCTCAAGAGAAGAGGAGATCGAACGTTTCGATTATGACGTTCGTTCGACGAGCCGACAGAAATATATCACCTCATTCAAAAGCTGGCCTCCTCAAAAGGTTAATTGCGATCGCTCGATGAATATTCATCCAGTTCCGAAATAAGATCGTTCTTGTTTGAAACGCTCGTCGTGGCGCAATTATTACGCAGCAACGGACGAGCGATATCGAATTTCGCTTCTCTTTAAACTTCAGCCTTGCGGTTAAATATAATTTTTTTTTTTAATTTTTTTCATATTCACGCGTCCTTCCAAGAGCGATTATACGTTTACATTAATCACGGATGTTCCCTGTCCGATCGCAGTAATGTGTTCTACTTGCATGAAGCGAACGATGATAAACGATGTAATGGTGTGTAGCAACAACGTCGTCGGTTACGTGATGTGTAATTAGCCTGGTTTTTTTTTAGCGGATTAATAACTAGTCTCGTTAATTTTCTTCATAATTGAAACAATTTATTGCGCAATATAGTTGAGATAATAAAATTTGTGACAATGTAATTTAGAATAATAACTTGAATATAACACAACAAATTATTTCTGATAATAAGTAAATTCTAATGAGTTAATCTAATACCGAGTAAAGTGCGATCGTTAGTTTGTTGCGAATGTATATTTATTGTAAGAATCGCGATTGAGAGTGAATATATCATTTGTTCACATCAAGAAAATCGATTGAGCGTTGTTGATGTGCCAACTGCGACAAGAACGTTTCTCTCGAAACGAGATATTCCCGTTGATCGTTGGTATTTCGAGATTGATCGTATCGTGACCCGAGAAATCATGGGAATCACATGCTCGCATAAATTGGCAGAAACGTCCGTTCATTCGACCATCGTCGCTGATCGTCGGAGTTGAAGGTTCGAGGCCGATCGATCGCGACAACGAGCTCAACGACGCGATTGATAAGTTGTGCGCGCGATCGGTACGATCGAAACTCTCCAAACCTGATTACTTTTAATTTGGTCGAAGAAAAACAAGTCGTTAAGTCTCTCGAAGAGACAAGAAAAATATTATCAATTTGCATTTTGAGGTTTAAATTTGACACTCGCAAAAAGTCTTACAGATAAGTAATATAAGTTACTGTAATAAATTTAATATCATAAAAACTACTGTATTAGAATATTAAACAATAGAAAAAATTAAGAATATGAGTTTTAAAACTTTTATGAAAATTAATACAATTTTAAAAGAACAAGTCGCAAGGAAAAAAAAAACAAAGATCTGTTATCTTGAAAACGCAGAAAACGAGAAATTGTTGCGATATAATGTCTGGAATGCACAAGAGTCGACTGGTGCTAACTACTCGAGGCGGACAAACACGTGTTCAAGTGCAGGTGTTAGAACGGCGAAATTAGAAGAACAATGTAGGACGAGGACAAGGATGAGGACGAGGAGCTACAATTATTTTTAGATCTATCTCGTCTGTCTCTCACTTTTATTGTCGCATCACTTGAGCAATTACATCGTGCTATATTAGATTGTTCGGAAAGTTCGTGGCATTTTCCAATGAGTGACATTACTGTTGATGGCAACCTGCACACGAGACATCGCGCAGATACTAAAACATCAAATAGCATCGTATATGAGCAGAAGCTATGTTATGCGAATTAGCATGATGGGCCTTTAAATTTTATTTGAAAAACACTCTATGCACTTTCCGAACAACAACCCAATATTTGATCACACACACAAAGCTTTAAAAAGCTTTTTCAACTATGATCTTATGTAATGTATACCGAGTAATTTTGTAATATTTGGTAGATACACGTTTGGAAAAAAAGACAAGATCTGCTGGAAAATAAACGCATTAGTAACGCGTCTAAAATTCGCGACTTCGGAAAGAAACGAAATGGAGTTTTTTTTTTGAGAAGATAGAGTAATACAGTAGCGACCATTTATTCGCCGTACAAAGACGCGCCTGAAAGAACGACGGCTCTCGACGACGGAATTAGAGAGACGAAGGAGACGAGATGAAGAGAAAGACCAGTGAAGTCGGAGAGGCGAGGAAGAGATACGCCAAGTGGAGTCAAGTGGCATAGGCTCCGGCAAGGCGCCTCTTCCCAGCTTGTGTGCATCTCTGGTCGCGGTATCTTCCTTGATATGTCGAGACTCGTGTTTCCCTCCTTCGAGTACTGTCCGCTTTGTTAATTGCTTAGAATATCTCAACGCAAACCGACGAAAAACCGACGCGATTGCTGCTTTCGCAAGACGTATCTTCTATCGCTTTGTATGAAGTGCAACGTCTCCGTGAAAAACGAATTAATACATTGATTCTTCAAAGAGAGAGAGAAATATGTACTTCATTAATATTATTGATATTCAGTAACATATATAAGTAACATGACAAAGTAATTTTAATTCTCAAATATATCGTAAAAATTTCGTATCTTTCTCTCTCTATTTTTTTATTTGCATTCATGGCGCTCTTCTACATGACACTCTGTTATTTACATATTAAACAGTATATCATATGCGCGGCGCGGAGCATAAAACAGCTCTTACGTGTGTATATATTATATAAGGTATAATGTTATTTCACTGTCCTCTATCTGGAGATGTATTCTTCTTCTGTTTCATTTTAAATGCGGAGAATGTAGAAAAGCGCGGCTATATAAGAGAAACATACACCTACACCTACCGCCTGCATCTGTCAGATCTTCCTGTGACCGTTTTCAAGTACGGAAACGTACGAAGTGTCGCGTACGAGTGCGACAAGTTTAAACTATTTTCCAACTTTTTTTTAGATTTTATTATTTTTTAAAAATCTTATACCGCGCGTGCGGGCACAAGAATATTTACATAATATCGTTACAAGTTGGTATACTGTTAACGCTAGATTGTTTTCATCAAGTTGTTTTTTCTTTTTCGTTTCACCAACATTGGAGTAAAGTTTATCTTCTAATTATTTCTAACGCCGTTTCTATTTGTTTGTCCAGCTGCGTTTTGTGTTTTCGTCTAGTTCCTCGAAAAGAATTTTATCTCGCGGTGCAGTAAAAACTTCTTTCTTTCTCTTTCTTCCTCTCTGTCTTTTTCTGTTTGCATGTGCACTTCTGATGAACTTCGCGCTTTGACCAAACTGCAGCCTCTTCTAAGTGAATTCTACGCGACCGTGACCGTTTTTGTCTACCTCTGCACGTGTAATGAAATGCGTCGCGTAACATTATAGATGTGTGTGAACATATCGACAGACACGTTGCAATTTCTTACGTCGCATTGAATTCTCAAAGATATTCTTGCGGTTGTGCGGAAAATATAATACTTTCTAGCTCAGCGACTCGTTTTAACTGCAATAACGTAAATCCGTCAGTCAGTGTCAATCCTGTTTAAAACGATCTCAATATTCAGAATAGAACAACATTCCATTTCTGTAGATTTCAGCCGGACTTCAGGTCACAGGCCGTTCCATTTCTAAAAGTGACGTATCAAGCCGGAATCCATATGTATTAAAGTTAAGTCACCGAAGACTATATTTAGAGCAGCGAAGTGCTTCTATCTTTGTAAACATATTATGTTTAGTGCACGCGTTTAAAATCAGATCAATATATATTGATCAATAAGTTATAATTAAAATATTTTGTAATTTTTTATGTATGTATTACGTGCATTCACACACACACAAATTATTAATATCGCTATTCTGTATACTTCGAATTTGATGTCGACATTATCTTGCATAGTTTAGAATGACTGACGCCTCGAGATCGATATTTGACAAGAGAGGCTTTGTAATAAAGATAGA